TTTGACCCCACATAATTTACGCCCCATCATGACCCTGTTTCCTCCCTCCCCCCATGGTGTGTCATCAATCACATTTGCCAATGGAGCAATTTTGCTGGTTGTAGAGATCACTCGTTTCCAGCCACTGTGGTAGTCCTGGAATACAGCCTTGAGAGAGATAAGCCTGGAATGTGCATCTGTCTTTGGCTGCCATGCTGTTTTGTTGGTTTCCCATCCCCCTAGCCTATGGCAACTCGAGAGCAAGCCAGGGATGCTTTGTGAGTTGACATTTCAATTAAATTATTCAATTTATTTGAACTTTGCAAGTGATAGACATTTTTGAAATTTCTATGAGAAGAACAGTCCCATGACACTACTAGGAGCTTCTTGCCAAAAGAAATATCAGAGAGAGATAGCATGCTTGTTATCTCAGGATCAAAGGAATCCTATCAAAATCACCAGAACTGATTCTGCCTTTTTCTCCACATTATGACTTGGAAGGAAAAAATGAGAAAAATTATTCATATAGTTCAGTAGCCAGGTAAGGAAAATAGTTACAATAGTAAGAAACCTCCACACCTTCTTCTACTCAAAAGGAAAATGTGAAGGTTTCTTACTATTGTAACTGTTTCAATCTGCTTAGAATAAACATTTTGCAAAACCAAAGCATTTATTTTATTCACTTACATATTTACAAAACTAATATATCACTCATATCAATTCACAACAATCCATAAAATTTAATTAAAATCATACCACTCAGGTGTGAACTAAATCATATCCCTGATGAATATACAGTAGACACACAAATAGATTTAATGAATTAAATCTAATAGACAGAATGCCTGAAGAATTATGGATGGAGGTTCACAAAGTTGTATAAGAAGTAGCAACTAGAACCATCCCAAAGAAAAAGAAATGAAAGAAAGTAAAATGGCTGTCAGAAGAAGTTTTGAAAATAACTGAAGAAAGAAGGGAAGCGAAAGGCAAGGGAGAAAGAGAAAGATAAACCCAATTGAATTCAGAATTCCAGAGAATAGCTAGAAGAGATATTTTCTTAAATGAACAATGCAAAGAAATAGAAGAAAACAATAGAATAGGGAGGACTAGAGATCTCTTCAAGAAAATTGGAAATATGAAGGAAATGTTTCATGCTAAGATGGGCATGATAAAGGACCAAAATGGCAGGGACCTAACAGAGGCAGAAGAGATTAAGAAGAGGTGGCAAAATTACACAGAAGAACTATACAAGATCCATATCTTCCCAGTCCTCAAGAATGCTAATAAGGGATGCTACCAAGTGTACATGTATAGGTTGTGATCATATGATATGACTTCTTCCTGTTATATCACCCTGGAGAGGACTAACAGTTGGATTCAAGTGCTAGATTAGCAAGTGGTATTACCTATCTGAAGATGGATGTCTCTTTATCAAGCCTTCTATAGACCTAGAGATTTGCTGCAAAATATTAATTGCTTCCATAAGAAAGGCTGAGCGCTAAAGAATTGAGGCCTTTGAACTATGGTGTTGGAGAAGACTCCTGCGAGTCCTTTGGACTGGACGGTGATCAAACCGGTCAGTCCTAGAGGAGATCAACCCTGACTGCTCTTTAGAAGGCCAGATCCTGAAGATAAAACTCAAATACTTTGGCCACCTAATGAAAAGGAAGGACTCACTGGAGAAGAAGAGTGAGGGCAAAAGAAGAAGGGGATTGCAGAGAATGAGGTGGCTGGATGGAGTCACTGAAGCAGTAGGAGTGAGATTAAATGGACTACACAGGATTGTAGAGGAAAGGAAGGCCTGGAGGAACGTTGTCCATGGGCTTGCAATGGGCTGAACACGACTTCGCATCAACAACATTCATGGCTTTAGAGTTATTGTCCTATATTTTACAGTTTACTACAGTTAATGTGATTTCTCTGCGACTAAACATGAACTTATCACATAAAATCTCTCCCCTCCTTGAATTTGGTTTTTAAAAAGTATCCCTTTTATTTAAACCAAAAGGAACAGGGAAGCCAGAAAACTGACAAAAGTGTTAAAGGGTGGAAAGAAAGAGCTGACAGGTGGTATCTTAAATATTAGGAGTAATATAAGAATAGATACAAATAATCAATATGGTGGCAAATTTTAATTGTCATGACACAAAAATATGTACTCTGACGACACACTGTTTACTGAAAGTAGGAATGTTTATATTAAAAGAAAATTTATACATATATGTATATATGACATTGGAGCAGGTAAAATCAATCACCAGAATCCTTGGACAAGCTGACAATTACCTTTTCAGTTGGTGGGTTGGAGCACTGGAGAATGAAAGTTGGTACAATCGAGCTAAGATTCCAGACATTATTCCCGTAATCCAGTAGTCTCCTGGCTTGTAGTAATGGAACCACTCCTTTTCTTCTATGATCACCTTAAATGGACATTTCATCAGCGTACTGGCACAAGGAATTTGAGACAGAAACTGAAGCAGAAAAAGCTGTATATGCAGCAGCAGCAACATTTGACATACAGTATACTGCAGGAGATCCTTCCTAGAGTTCTTTCTTTAGCACAGAGCTAAATCTCAGAGATCACAAAAAGACCACAACTACAGTGAAGAAGGTCCGGTTTGCCCCCAGATTTGGAAGAGCTATCTGCAATTTGAGACTGCTAGAGTATTTGCCCAGCTTTACCCCAAACTCTGATCTCATCACAGGAGGCTGTTACAAATCAGATTATCACAAGATGTCTATCCCATTTGTTGTCACATAGATTGGCCACTAATTGTGGTGGTGGAAATCCCATAAACTTTGTTCAAAGGAGAATAAATAATCATGATTTTAATAATTAGAAGGGGAATTGGGAATGAGCCTTGGCCTTGAAAGTGTGCCGTTGGAGAAAAGAGTTTTCTTTGACTCAGGAGAATAATCCTAATTTGAGAATTGAGAAAGGAAAAATATAGGGAAGTTTGATTGTTTTTTAGTCTCCAAACTTATTCTTGAGAGTGTAAAGATTAAAATGTGGAAAAACAGTTCAACACTCTTGAACTAGGCAATGGACCATTATAATTCCTTATTATTTTGTCTGGTGTGGATGAGGCCATTTTCTTCAATGAAGGTTTGGTACTCCAGAATGGTTAACTCCAGATTATGACATATTGAACAACCTATTGTTGTTGATGATGAGCCACGGTGATTCAGTGGTTAAGTGCAGTACTGCAGGCTACTTCTGCTGATCACTGGCTGCCAGCAGTTTGGCAGATCGAATCTTACCAGGCTCAAGGTTGACTCAGCCTTCCATCCCTCTGACGTCGGTACAATGGGGACCCGGATTGTTGGGGACAATATGCTGACTATGTAAACTGCTTGGAGAGGGTGGAATGGAATGGAATGGAATGGAATGGAATGGAATGGAATGGAATAGAATAGAATAGAATAGAATAGAATAGAATAGAATAGAATAGAATAGAATAGAATAGAATAGAATAGAATAGAATAGAATAGAATAACAGAGTTGGAAGGGACCTTGGAGTTCTGTATACCATTTTATACTTCTTGAGTTCATTCTTGTTGAGTGCTGGGTTCTGCACACTTTGATTTGGTAAACAATTGGAGGGAGAAAATGTTTCTCATCTTTGCAGACAACCTAGAAGTGGCTAGGATAGATTCACCCCTACAATGACAGAAATCATAATTAGGACAATCTAGAATCCTAATTTAGCATAATGAATGAAACCGATCAGTATGTGAATAAAAATACATTGCAATTGCTTTGCTTTTCCAATGCTTTCTCAATATCCAAAGAGAGATAGTGTAGAAGGCAGAGGTAATGGCATTGAGAGACCACTACCAAACAACTTCAGATAAGAGTAGTATTCATTTATATGATATAGTTTTCCTAATCTGTAATACACTGAAGGGCTGACTGACAAAAAGACAAAGACAAAGAAAAGACACATGCACAAAAACAAATTTATATATTTATAGTAAAGGTTTAAGTGGGTATAGGTAAAGATTTTCCCTGTCAGTCATGACCAACCCAAGGGGCAGTGCTCATCTTTGATTCACAAATAAAGAGCCTTTATCTGAAGATGCTTCCATGGTCATGTGGCTGGCATGACTATGCACTGAAGATGCACGAAACATTGTTACTTTCCCACTGAAGTGGTACCTATTTATCTACTTGCATTTACATGCTTTTGAATTGTTAGGTTGGGAGGGCACACACACAGACATACACCCACACACACGCACACACACACACACACAAACTATATGTATATGGAAATGGAAATGGATATGGATATGGATATGGACATTGATAAAAGAGAAGAACCAATTTTAATACTCCTAAGCACCTCTTCATTGTCACATTAGGTGTTCAGAGCTGTATAATAATTTGTCTCATTAATTTATACAAAGGGATGGAGATAAAAAATTAAATTTGCTCCAATGTTTATGTTGATATTTTATCTATTCTTAATATATAGAATGTTATCTGTCTCTCTATTTTTCTCTTATTTGATCTCTCCTCTCTCTTTCTCTTTCTCTTTCTCTCTCTCTCTCATTTATCTAACTATGAATGATCTTACATTATTGAGCCAGAAGACATCAATCAAATATATAGAGTATTTTAACTTAACTATTTTTTAAAACAAAGTCAGAACATCACCGCAGAAAATAAAATATAACACCAACACACCAACCTATATAGTAACAAAAACACACATCATCATTAGCCATAGTCTTTAATTTAATCTAAAACCATATCAGAACACCTCTGGTAACAGGTTATCTGGCCTGGTTTCATAAATTTTATTAATGTCATAATATGAATTCAGATTAGGACAATTGAAGGGTATGATTATTTCAAATAGTTTGAGTTGTTTTAGCAACTTATTACTCAATTATTATAATTCAAAATTCACATGGAATGAAGAAAGATAAGCGACAACATATAAAACATTACTTCAAAGTATGTAATTTTATGCTGCATGTAAACTGTACAAAAATAAATACCAACACAAGGAAACTTAATGATTTTTTATCCTCAGATGTTCTTTGGTATTCATGGCAGGTCTCAGGATAATAATGTAGCATTTGGGGATAAAGATGCAGCCCAGTAAACCCAGGCCAGAGGCCAGGATGGAGAAGATCTGCACGGCTACCATGTATTTCCCCTTGGTGCTCAGATATGTGGGAACAAAGGAGATCCAAACACTACAAAAAATCAACATGCTGAAGGTGATCAGTTTGGCTTCATTAAAAGCCCCTGGCAGATTTCGAGCCAGAAATGCCACCAAGAAACAGATGGCAGCCAAAAAACCCATGTAGCCAAGAGCAGAGTAGAACATGGTGACAGAGCCTTCATTGCACTGCAGCAGGATGTGTTCTGGTTGGGAATGAAAGTCAGAATCTGGGAATGGGGGAAAGACTCCCAGCCACATCATACAGAGGCCTACTTGAATACCAGAGCAGAATAAAACAATAGAGTTGGCCAGGCTCTTCCCCAGCCATTTCCTCATGCTGCTGCCTGGCTTTGTGGCCAGAAAGGCCACCACCACCATGACAGTCTTGGCCAGCAAGGAAGACACAGCAACTGAGAAAACAACACTGAAAATGGTTTGTCGAAGGAGACAGGTCATTTTCACGGGGCGACCGATGAATAGAAGGGAGGTCAAGAAAGAAAACAGGAGTGAAACCAGGAGGATATAGGTGAGTTCACAGTTGTTGGCTTTGACTATTGGAGTGTCTCGGTATTTCATGAAGATTCCCAGAATAAAGGCGGTGGTTAGGGACAAAGCGATGGCAAAGAAAGCCAGGATGAGTCCCAGCAACTCTTCATAGGATAAGAAGCTTATATTTTTGGGGACACACTGATCTCGCTTCTTATTGGAATACTGGTCATCTGGACACTTTTCACAATGGGCTGCATCTGAGAAAAAAATGGTTAGCATGAATCTGTTTCTGTCGCTGTAGGAGCATGAAAACCGCATCAGAAATCAATTGCTTCATTTTCAAGGAATAATATAATATTTCTCCCCAGGGATATCTCTGTGTTACTACATTAGTTAACACTCTTTTTAAAGGCTGAAGATGAATGTGATTATCAGCTCTCAAAACTTGTCCTCTTTCCCAAAACCAAGCAAGAAAGTAACAACTCAATAGAAATCAGCAACCTTTCATTATTTATTTTAATGCTCAAATCATCATCCAAATTTGGCAATAGTGCCCAATCTTTGAAGTTTGTGGATGCCTTCAAGAAATTTAATGTTTTTCTTGCTTCTTGATCAAATACCTCCCCAAGAAAACCAAGATAGAATATTCATTGTATCTTTATTTTGGGGGGTTATTTTTGGAGCCACCTACTGTACCTTCTTGTCCAGAGAATGTTCCTTCCATACACAGAAAACAGTCGTAGCAGCAAACTGGGGCTCCCTCTCTCACAAGCTTGAAATAACCCGGGGAGCAACTTTCTGTACATCTTGAATAAGGCACCACCTAAGCATAAACAGAAAGATTAGTCAGGGTGATATATGAATTAGAAGGATTTACTGAAATCAAGCGGCTTCCAGAAGTTCAAGAGCACATAGAGCAAAATCAGTTAAGAAGTAGTGGCATGAATTTTAATTACTCTACTTGCAAGGGGCCAGTGAAAGGTCGTTCTCTTTCTCTATTAATCTCCATTGTAGATCCCAAAACAAACTAATTGCCTCATTCTTTTTTTCCAAAGGAAAGTAGTTCCATTGCAAAAGGTGTTTCTCCTTAGGGCATGTATTAGAATGCTATAACAGGAAACCTCCAAAATCTAGCTTTCTCTAGAGTCCCTATCTTTCTCTCCTACTATGATGATTATATCATCATCTGTAAATTAGTTTTTTAGCAACCCTCACTTTCCTTCATCACATTCTTAATAATATCTTTCTCTTATGCAATTCAGTGGGCTAAACCCTTCATATTCTGGATTTTTCTCCCAAAGGTGCTTTTTCAAAAGACCATTGATCTTTATTTTCCCTTGAAGACATTTTGCTTCTTCAGTTTTGACTGAATGGTGAAGTATGGAAGGATTTATATTCCTTCCAGTCATCTGGTTGTTGTTGTTGTTTTTTATTGAAAAGTTTTACAAAAAAGAAATTTTTTTTTTCAAATATTTCCCCTTCTCCCCCCTCCCTTCCTCCCCCCCACGGACCCGCCCCCCGGACTTCCCAGAACAAAATACAGGGTAAAACAATTAACAATCATGTGCTAAGCTAAGCTAACTAACTACAGATTCCTATCCCCCCCTTGACACTTTAACTCGCCCTTTACTTAACTAAATATACATACTCTTAACTTTTCTATTCATTCATAAGCTATTTGATACTTTTTAGTTCGATATTTGTTTTCAATATAATCAATCCATCCTCTCCATTCCGATATATATCTTTCTTGTGAATGATCTTTCAAATATGCTGAAATTTTCGCCATTTCTGCCAAATTTGCCACTTTTAATGTCCATTCTTCAATAGTAGGCAATTCTTCCTTCTTCCAGTATTGTGCCACCAAAAGTCTAGCTGCAGTTATTAAATTTAAAATCAATTTAGTCTCTATAACCATACAATCTGTGATTATACCCACAAAAACAATTGTGGAGTAAACTTTATCTTCTTTTTAAGAATATTTTGGATAATCCACCATATTTTAATCCAAAATGCTTTAACTTTTTTACAAGTGCACCATATATGATAATAAGTAGCATCGTCACAATCACATCTCCAACACTTAGATTGCAAATTTGGATACATACAAGCCAACTTTTTAGGATCCAAATGCCATCTGTAAAACATTTTATAAAATTTTTCTCTTAAATTTTGTGCTTGCGTAAATTTTACATTTCTAACCCATATTTTTTCCCAAGTTTCCATCATTATTGGTTCCTGAATATTTTGTGCCCATTTTATCATGCAATCCTTAATTAATTCCATTTCTGAGTCTATTTCTATCAATATATTATATAATCTTTTTATATGCATTTGACCTTGATCTCTAATTTGTTTTACCAAATTTTCCTCCTTCTTCATGATACCAATTCTCTGGTCTTCTTTCTATCTAGCTTGCAACTGTCCATACTGAAACCAAGTTTGAATTATTTTTTCTTCTTTTAATGCCTTTATAGATTTTAACTGCAATATACCCCCTTCCATTTTAATAAGCTCTTTATAAGTAATCACCTTTTGCTTTTGTTCTACACTTATATTCTCTATCACATGTCTGGGTATTGCCCATATAGGTATCTTATAATTTAACTTATATTGATACTTCTTCCAAACTCGTAACAAGGCATTCCTTAGAATATGGCTTTTAAAGGTCTTGTCCACCTTTTTATCATATAATAAGTAAGCATGCCAGCCATATAACAAATCATATCCTTCAATATTCAATATTCTTTCTTCTGTTGAATTAATCCAGTCACTAATTATTGTTAGGACAGCTGCTTCATAGTATAATCTTAAATTAGGCATTTTGAGACCTTCTCTTTCACATATATCTTGCATTATTTTTAACTTTATTCTTGGTGTTTTCCCTGCCCAAACCAATTTATTAATACCCTTCTGCCATTGCTTCAAATTATCATCTTTCTTAAGTATTGGTATCATTTGAAACAAAAATAAAAACCTAGGTAAAACATTCATTTTTATTGCTGCTATTCTCCCCAACAAAGATAATTGTAATTTTCCCCAATTCTCCATCTCTTTCTGTATTTTTTGCCATAGCAATTCATAATTATTTTTATATAATTTTACATTTGAGGCTGTAATATATACCCCTAAATATTTAACCTTTTTTACTATTTCAAATCCTGTTAATCTTTCTAGTTCTTCTTTTTGCTTTACCGTCATATTTTTAACTATTATCTTTGTTTTTTGTTTATTTATTTTAAATCCAGACATTTGACCGTATAGGTTAATTATATCCAATAAGCCTGTAACTGATTGTACTGGTTGGGTTAAGGTAACAACCAAGTCATCCGCAAATGCTCTTAATCTATAGTCATGATGTCTAATTTTAATTCCCTTTATTTTATTTGACCCTCGTATTTTATTCAGTAGTGGTTCCAATGTTAAAATAAACAATAATGGTGATAAAGGGCATCCCTGTCTTGTTCCATTTTCAATTTTAAAAGTTTCTGTTAAACCACCATTAATTATTATTTGTGCTGTTTGTCTCTGATATATTGCCGTAATAGATTGTATAAAGTATTCTCCAAACTGCATCTTTTCTATTATTTTCAATAAAAATTGCCAATTCAATCGATCAAATGCCTTCTCCGCATCCAAAAAGATAAGCGCTGCAGGAACTTGGTTGTTCCTTTCCAGATATTCCAGTAAGTTTACAATTTGTCTTACATTACCTTTCATTTGTCTCCCACTTATAAATCCAGATTGGTCATTATGAATCATTTGTTGCATAATTACCATTAACCTATTTGCTAGTATTTTAGCAAAAATCTTATAATCAGTATTTAAAAGTGATATTGGCCTATAATTCTTAGGTTGACTGTGATCTTGGTCCTCCTTTGGAATCAATGAAATAAAAGCTGTTCTCCAAGAAGGGGGTACATCTCCTCCAGCTTGGATCTTCTGAAATAGTTCCTTAAGCGGTTCTACCATTTCTAACTGCAAATTTTTATAATAAACAGCTGTCAATCCATCTGTGCCTGGAGCTTTACCCCCCTTCAACTGTTTAATTGCTAAAATAATTTCTTCGAAGTTATTGGTCGGTTCAATCCTTCCCTCTGCTCTGGTGTGATTACAGGAATATTCTCCTCCTGTAAATATCTGTCTATGTCTTTACCTTGAATTGTATCACTAGCATATAACTTTGTATAGAATTCTAAAAAAGCTTTTTAAATCATATTTTGTTGATATACCGCTTTACCTTTGAATTCTATCTTCTCTATAGTACGTAACTTTTGTTTCTTCCTTAACAAGTAAGCTAACCATCTACCTGGTTTATTTGCATTACAAAAAGTATTATGTTTAGCATATTGTAAATTAGTTGCCACTTGGTCTGCCATCAACATATTAAACTGACCTCGTAACAAATTTATTGTTTCCTTTATTTTCTTATCTGTTGGATTCAGTATGAGTGTCTGCTCTTTCATTTTTATTTCCTCTTCTAAATCCCTCTGGTTTTTTTTTTCTTGTCTACGTCTATATTTATTATTCAAATGTATTAAGGTTCCTCTCATATATGCTTTACTTGCATCCATGACCATTTCCATAGGTGTACCTTTGTTCATATTCATGACAAAAAATTCTTTCATTTGTTTTTTACATTCTTTCACTTTTTCCTCATATCTAAACAAATTTTCATTTAACCTCCAAGACCTTCTAGGTCCCTTTTCCTGCTCTAATTCCATCCACACCGGACTATGATCAGATAAAATTCTTGAACATATCTTCGTCTTCTTTACCCTAGAAAAGAAATCATTAGTAATCAATATGAAATCAATCCTGGAAAGGGATTGATGTCTGTCAGAAAAAAAAGTAAAATCCTTTTCTTCGGGATTTCGTTCTCGCCAAATATCTCTCAACTCCATATCATCCATCATGTCAAAAAAAGATTTGGGCAGTCTTGCACGTTTTTGAATATTTTGAAGTAATCCTTTTTTGTCCTTTTGAGTGTCCAGTACTCCATTCCAATCACCCATTAATATACACGATTTATAATCCCATTGTATTATTTTAGTATGCAAAAACTT